TTAAAACGAGTGAGGTAACTCCTCAGGCTCTCCTCGCGGTCCTGTTTTTATACTAAGCAGGTGCGTAACTGGCTTCTGGTGGCGACGCCCTCCAATGAAGTGTGAAACGAATGATCTGCTAAGCTCGGCGAAAGAGGCAATAGAGGCGGGGGGAGCTTAGCAAACCACTGTCAGGCAGACCCCTTTAACGTGGTTGGGAATGCCCTGCACATGATTTTGTCTGGTACGTTGTGCAATTGCATCAAGGTCTTGTAAGTGTCGAGGTGGTCCAGTGGATCCTTTGTTCCATCAAAGGTCTCCACAGATGACATTTTGAACTTCTGAGGGAGGGGGTAGTTTGCTACATCAGGTTTGAAAGGCGTATCAGTACGCCTTACCAGGTGGTCAACAGTCTTGGGTCCCTGTGCCTTCATGGCGTTGAAGACATCACCGAGTTGATTCTGTACCTCTTTTATCTTTTCGTCCCAATGATTGGGGACTCCTCTGGAATGATCATGAAAGTGGCTTCCATGCTCCATGCTTTAGTTTTCACCCTCATCCTCCTGGAGATAAAGGTCCTCTCCCTGGGAAGCAAGGGGAGGGGGAGGTGGAGCTCCCTCATGTTGGGCTTCCCGAAGTGGGGTGCCCAATGGGGTGCCCGGGCGTGGAGCAACAGGGCGTGGTACTCCTTGATGTCCAGGACGTGGAGCTCCCTGGGGTGCTCTATGTTGTGCACCTCCGTGGGGCCCTTCATGTTGTGCATCTCCGTGTGGTGCTCCACGTTGTGCACCTCCGTGTGGTGCTCCACCTTGGTGTCCTCCATGCTGTGCACCTCCGTGTGGTGCTCCTCCTTGTCCAGCAAGTTTGAGTTGCAGTAACTGTTGGTTTTGAGCAACCAGTTGCTGCATGGTCTCCAATATTTGCTAGGGATTCGGGGCTAGAGTATCCGGAACAGGGTTGATAGGCGGGGAGCAACCTCCTCCTCTTGTGGAGGATTGTCTTCATGTTGGTTCATGGATCGAGTAGTGATCGCCATTAGTTAATGGATGTAATGTTCAGGAGTGAGAATTTTGTCAAATTTCTCACAGACGGCGCCAAACTGATGATGCACAAAAATGATTTTGCACACCACCTGTCAAGTGTAGGTAATAAATGCAGTGAAATCAATGAAAAAATTAAAGAAGACACGATTTATAGTGGTTCGGTCAATTCGACCTACGTCCACTCTTCAATGGCTTCAGTTGCCGGGTATTTTATTAATTCAGAGGTATGGAGAATAGAGATACAAGTTTTGAGAGAATGGAGAATCAAAGAATGAGTGGTCTCCGGTCGTCGGTCTGTCCTCTGTAAGTGTTGGTGGGGCGTGACCTCCTCCAGATTGGGGCTACTTTATAGCAACTAAGAGATCATTCTTGTGGAGATCATGACTTATCCTCAAGGCTACTTTATCGCAGCTAAGAGATCATTCTGGTGGAGTTCATGACCTATCCTCAACGGAAGGAGGAGGTTGGAGAGCTCTTCATGAAATGTGGTCAAAGCTTGGACCGTTTCCTTCGGTGGTGCAGATAAGCTTCTCATACTCTCCTCTTGATGACGTGCTAAGTAAAAGTTTAACCGGTCTTGGACTGTCTTGGGCTTGGTAGATTCAAAATGAGGTTGGGCTCCTCAACTAGAGTTGGACTTTAACACATAAATTGAACTATTTGGGCTTAACCCATCAAATATAGTTCCTTACAAGTAGTGATTCGTGCATGATCATAACCTATTGAATACTCCGTGATTTGTCTTCAACAAATTGCATTACAGCTATAACATTCAGAAGAATATTAGTTTCTTCTTAGATATTTGTGAGATGAGGATACAGACAATGTACTGTGTGTTGCTTTGAAATCTGAATAATCACCTTCTCTAGAGCATAAGAAGACGACAAACAAAGAAAGGAATCACCCAAATTAACGCCGTTTCGATTGACGTGAGCCACGACATTACCTAGTTGGAGTATAGAATAGAATAAAGAAAAAAAACATAAACAAGTCCATGAGTAAATGAGTACATTTTTTTTTTTTTTTGAACAAAGGAGTAAATGGGTGCAATAATTCTCATGAGTAAATAAATGCCAACAAGGACAAAATCGACATAAAGAAGTCCAGTGGTTGAGGACTCAAAAATGGGTAGTTCATCGCTATCAATGAGAACACATTTGACAGCAACATTTTCTCACTGCTGCCAAGCTTCCATTCATTGTTGAGGACGACTAAGAAACTGTAAAAATTTAAATTACGTAGTCTTCTCCAACGTTCCTAATCAAACCTGACCCATTATCAGATAATTACGAATAACCACACTCAATGAGTCTTCAGTCAGGCCAAATAAGATTGGTGTTAGGTTATATTTGGACCACATCTCGAGTTAAAATTCCAATGATTACTGCAAAAAGTTGAGAAATTGTAATAAGCAGAAGGTTGACTCCTCTGCCCATCCTTGCTTTATCTGCCATCGTTGTGTAGATGTCCTTTCTCTCAGCTCAGGAAATGAAGGTGACACCTACCAGAGACAGAAGAATAAAAGAATTAACCAATACTCTTTTTTTTTTCTATCTCTCTCCATAATTTCCTTCGGGTACTGAAACTGGAGCCATTAATAATAGACAGAAAGAAAGGTGGAAGAGTCCCAGGTACTCTGTTTAGGGTTTGACTCCTCTCCAATTACAAAATAATTGAAGTATACACCGTCCAGTGACCGTCTTCATTACATATGTTTGGGGACCCATATCTGCTACATCGACAACAAGTCATGTGCCCCAATCAGTTCTTCTTTGTGAGTAAATATTGAATACAACGGTGAATGCTAACGTGGTATCACCAATTAATAATAAAAAAATAATGTTATTGAGCTGGAGACTCCATCAAACATAAAAACTTATTATTGATACAGTGGTTTCAATAAAGATACATTATTGGTTCAACAAATTGAGTGGTTCCATCACAAATTACGCAAAATCTCAGGTACCCTTTTGTAATTCGGATATGAAGAAAAATAGGGAGCAACAATGAAAGAAATTTGCATTTAAGCCATTGGCATGACGGACCGCCTTCGTGGAGCTCTCAATAAAACATGGAGTGTGCATTAACATTTTTAGATTTTGTCCAAAACTTAGGTGAGAGACTTGGTCTCACTTCGACTCTTCATAAAATTGCCTGAAACAATTTTCGCCCGTTAACTTAATTCAACTCAACAAAATTGTAAACAAGTTGCACTAAATGTGGGCATAGTATCCGAACTGAATTTACACTAAATGTGAACATTTTAAACAAGTTATGCATAATAAATCCCCATCACCCTTTCATGGGGGATCACAAACTGGACTTTTCCGGCCAGGATTTTTTTGTTCGATGGCGCTTTATTTATGTACAAAGGAATACATACAAATTTTGAATATAGTTTATTCGGTGGTGTTTCTCAACTCTTCTGAATGTTTTTTTTTTTGCCTATGTATATACATTCATGTTGGACAGGTCTGCCATTTGGCTGCAATTCATGGTGATTAATGCCTTTGTTGTCAGAGCTTGACGAGGGGTTACTCCATGGTACAAAAACATGAATTTAAACTAGCAATTTTTTTTTAATTATTATGACAAATTTTTGTTTAGTTAGTTATTGCTCGAATTCAAACCGGCTTAAATATTCTAATACAAGGGCAGCAGAAAGAATGTGCATCATCAGATTATTTCTGCTTGGCGATTTCTGATAAATACAATCAATACATGTTCAAATGATTATAGTAGATAACCCGACATTGTTGCTTCCTATTAGCTAACTGCCTGAATGGACTGGAACTGTATTTTTAATTAGTATGATTTTGAGAACCATGTGATGTCATGAAGAAGGATGAACAATTAGGCTTAAGATTGATCGAAATAAAGAAAGCTTTGGGTTGGGGGGAGAGAGAGAGAGAGAGAGAGAAAGTTATGGCTGTAGATTATCTTTGAATGATGAGGCATCTTTTAGCACAAGATTCCTTATAACTTGGCAAAGAACTTTTCCAAGCAATGAGTCATTACACTTGGTAGGTAGTTATTTTTTTGACATAAATCTTTAGATTTTCATTAAAATAAAAATTAACTTTTAGCGTATTCTTTTAGTTTTTTAGTGAAAATTTAGTTAATTTCACTCTTCTAGTTTTGGGGAAAATTCTCGCACTCCATTTTCTTGGAGAATTGAATGGAGTTTTTTCATATTTCAACCAAAAAATCTAATAATTTTAAACCATTAGTCTATAGCCAAAAAGGAAAACGCACAAAGTAGCGAAAGCGAAAGAAAAAAAAGTTACTTACACACTAGAGTTACAAAAAAGGGGTGATGTGAGAATTCAAGCCTAAAAGAATCAATACTTGACAACGATGATATATGTATTGTCCCTTCGACTTCTTAATTGAGAGAATCAATGGTGGTGAAGTAGTCCAGGCCTCGTAGTCGAGTCTTGACAAGACAGACAACACTAAGCTTAACCTTTTGTTAATCTAAAACGAACACAAATATGGCCCATGATCCGGCCCATTATTTTGCCATGCAAATATAATCGTATTACCCACCAAGCAACAATAAGGTCCAGAAATGACTCTCTAGCCCAAAGATTTCAATTACATGGCAAATTCGACTTTCGGTCCATCAAAATTTCAAAAATATTCTCTCCCCTTTTGAGATGAAAACTTTTGGAATAAAACAAGAAACAAAACGTAAATTTGTGCAACATAAACTTGAATTTAATTAAAATGTGTGGAGTGGACCACTGTTGATTATATATATGTAAAATTTATATAGTATGAGTCCAAACAGGCTTACTAAATAAATAATGATCTTGGTTTTTTAGCTTTATCTATTTTATTCTTTTTCCCAAAAAAAATTGTCGGACTTTTTATGGGCCTAATGCCAGTGTTGCAATTATCATGACCAAAACATAAGAAGCCCAACCCATCAGAGTAAAGCTACAATGAGGGCACTCTCATTCACCATACTGTAAACTCTCATCTACAAATCGCAGTTTTGTATACTTCTGCACGAACTCTTGCTTACATAAGCCCCCCATCTCTCTCTCTCTCCGTTCGGATCTCTATAGCTTTTGCGATTCACAGAGAAAAACTGGGGGGAAAATATGACGATGTTTCACTTCTTAAACTGTGCAATTCTAACGTTCGCTCCCCACGCAGTATACTACTCTGCCACGCCATTGTAAATCTTTTTTTCCCTCTTCTTCATCTGTTTCTCCATGGATACCTTAATCTTTACAATGATTTTCGATTCTTATTTATTTAATTGTTTTTTTTTTTTGAATCTAATGCAAATTCGCATAGTTGTGGTAGCAAATAACTGTATAATTGCAGTAGAGATCAATTATCGGAATCGGTGGTGCTTTTCGAGTTCTTTAATTATGGTCATTATTATTCATAACCACTAGTGAATTATATTATTCTAGCTAGATCAAATTGACTAGCCTAGATGGGGATGGGAGCCGCCAAGTGGCTTGTGAGATCCAATTTAGGTCCTAGGCCTTTTCTACCACATACCCACATCGCTAGTCTCACCTCGATGTACCGAATTTCAAATTTGGAAGTTGCTTTCTAACTATAAGATCATTTTATACCGAACTAATTATGACACTCTGATTAACAGTATGCTATGGTGAAGAAAACTTTGTAATACAGTTTTTCTCAGTTTTATTAGCTGTATATGGTGGTGTTTTAAAGTTACATGGGTGTTTATTTATATGTATTAGTTTCTATATATACACTCATGTCTACTTTATCTGCTTTGTGTTGTGGAATTACTGCCTTGGAGTTTATCTCTCACCTACTATTGAGTTTTTCTCTTGTTACTAATTCACCCTTCAAACTAACAATGTCCAATTGTTTCAACATTTGAGTGTGTCCAACTAGTATCAGATTGAATTATTGGTTCCTCGTGAATAGTATAGTTGTGGGTAAATCCCTTTCTGTATTATATTGTTCATCTTAAACAAAACTATTTTTAATTACATTTGTCCTTTTTGGCACAATTAGTATTTTAGGTCTCTATTATTTCGTAAAACGTCCTTCATATTAATAATCAGCATAGGAAGTGTCTAATGGGAATTAGTATTTGTGTGCAGATCCGAATATGATACACTTGGGACTTCCATTAAAGCTGCTCTCGTTTATCTTGGAACAACGTTAGTCAAGGTTGGTCATTTTGGCCAGACACTCCGGTGTCATGACTTTACATTCGACTTTATTTACTTTAGCTCCTGTTTAAAATTTTGTCTTCTGCACCACGCTCCATTTCCCTCTCTAACGCTACATGTTATTTGTTCCTTTTATGGGGCAGCTTGTTTGTCTGGCAACATTTCTTAAAGAATCTGAAAGTGACAGCTTTGATCCATATCAGGTAGTTTCAGTATTTTTGTTTGCAGGCTTATATCTTTTACCTTTTATAGTATTACAAATCTACAATCTTTCATATTGTGAACAGGGATGTTCAGATATTACATGGATTAGACATGTATGTTTTTATGTTTCTCTTTGTAGAATTGGTTGTAAATATCTTCAACCTTGAACGAATGAAGGTTCAGCATATTTCACCACTTGAATGTCCAGCTTGGGCTTTGGGAACAAACATTCAAAACCTAAGCCTTTTGTGCAGAAGGATGGTCATTAATCTGTTCTATCCCACATAAAATGTGTACTTGATTCAATCCTGTTCAACTCTTATTATTTGACTGAAAATCACTGGCAATTATGAGAGGACTATTTTTTTTTCAGACGCCTTTTTTCTTCAAGTTTGATGTTTGGGTACTTTAATATATCTGGGAGACATACATGGTTTACAAAACTTATGAGTAGATGGCCCTTATGACATGGTTGTCAAATTGCGTATCGAAAGGTATATCGTTTTTCAAAAATAGTGTATTGTATCGTGTATCATAAAGTACGGTCCAATTTTAAATAAATAATAAAAAAATATATATACCTTTGAAAAAAAATCATAGACACATAAAAATATAGTATTGCATTAATACTCCACCACTATTCAAGTCACAAACATAGTTCACTAATTCAAACTTCTAACACCCAAGGGACAAGGCTTGACTGGCTGCTGCTTTGATGGCTTCTCAAGTTTTGTTGGCTTCGTTGATAAAGAACAGAGAGAAAAGAGAGAGTGGACTTTGTCGAGAGGAACAGGGATTCGTCGATGAAGAGCAGAGAGAAGAGAGAGAGTGGGCTTGTTCTTTACAGGTGGGCTTTGTTGTCGTGAAGAACGGAGAAAAGAGAGAGAATGGGGGAGCTGTTTGTGTTTTGTCATCGTGAAGAACAGACAAAAGAGATCGGAGAATAAAGAGAAAAGAGGGGAAAAAAAATTTTGTAAACCCTAGCCACTGAAATGTTAAAAGAAATTCACTTCAACAAAAAATGACGTCATTCCAGTCAAAATAAAATATTTAAACAGAAACTGTGCGTATCGCACTGATACATATCGTATCGTAAAAATGTATCGTGCATCGGACGATACTATGTAAAAACAGTACAAAATTACGATTTGTATCGTTTTACCTCTGTATCATGACGTATCGTATGATACTAATAATTGTGTCTTATAGAACTAAATAATGTTGAAGGATAAGTATGACGTGCATATATCTTGCAATTTTGGAGTTTGCTTTTGCTGCAGGTTGCGTTGTACGAATGAATATTAGCAACTTCTTTAACAAAAGAATAAAACTTGAAGGGATAGAGAACATTTGAGATAACATGTTCATGTATGACAGTTGAATGGTGTTACCGGATGTGACATGCTCTTATTTATCTTTTAAACATCCTGTTTTGCTTTTCTACCCGGGCTGCAATCATAATTACGACATGCTTGTAGTTAAATTCCTAAACATAAAGTCTGAAACGAGTATAAAGTTAAGGGAAAATATGATATTTTAATATACAAGTTTTTCTTGGATTCAAAAAAACAATGAACTTCTTGGCTCTTGGTTAAAAAGCTGATTTCTAGGGCAAAATAGTGATGGTTTGGTGATACTTTCCATTAAAGATAAATTGACTCTTAATTGTTCTTTTCTCAGGAACTGTTGAAAGCTTTAATTGGCTTTATAGATGTTGCCGGCCTTTACTTTGCCCTGACCCAGTTGACTCACAGGAATATCTCTCAAAATCACAAGTTCCAAGCCGTTGGACTTGGTGAGTAGAACTTGATCTCCCATCTCATGAATTCAGCTGCTTTCTTTTCATTTTCTGGGAAAAAAATTCTACTTATCTATAGCCTCTAGTTGAAACTTGGAGTTTTGTTGTGTTTTCTTTTCCTCTAATATATGTGCTGAAGCCTGAATGGATCTCAAGTTGACTCTGCATAATCCACTTTACATCTATTTTGTCTACTTATGAATCAACATAATGTTTGTCTTTTTTTAATTCATTGGTATGTTGCATAGAAATTAGTGCCGTATTAAAAAATCATATAAACAAGTTAGGATGGGCAGAAGTGCGTTCATAGCAAAGAAGAAAAACAGAAATGGAGAAGGTTATTGCCAGGTCTCATGTTTATGTTACCCATGAAGATTGGAATATTGTGTGATGGTTATGGCCAACTTAATCTAGTACCTGATATCAATATTTTGTGATACATGTTTTGCTTTCTAGTTGGCAAATAGTTCTTATAATAATTATACTTTATCTCATGTCTCATAGAAAGACAGCAGCATATCTTAGTTTTTTTGCATATAGATAATAGGATCAATACCTACTCAATCAAGTAGTGTTTTATTTAAGTTGTGCTCTTGATGCCTGAAGTATGTTCGGTTAATAGTGAAATTAGAGTTGGTAATGTTATAATGGAATGCTTCCACTCAAGATATTCATCTTTTTGAGCACTATAGCACAATTCTTCTTTATTGACAGGATGGGCTTTTGCCGATTCTGTGTTGCATAGACTGGCACCCCTTTGGGTGGGTGCTAGAGGACTAGAATTTACTTGGGATTACATTCTGCAAGGCGTTGAAGCAAATGCAAATCTGGTACCATTAATTCCTTTCATGATTAATTTCTTCCCTTTTTTCTTTCTGAGTGAGGCAAGATGCCAATTGCACAAGGAAGTCTGAAAACATGAATGACTTATTCCATCACATTGAGATTCAAATAGAAATATAAAGAGAATCTGTTTGCCACTCTCTTGTTATTTTTATCTCATGTTTATAAACTTCTATTGTTTCATATTTAGCTTAATTCTCCCCCTCAATTCAGGTGTTGAGTATTTCCCTTGCTGCATTGGGATCTTTGATTTGGCTCCGGAAAAACAAACCCAAGGCTTTGGTTCCTATTATTTATGCATGTGCAGCAATAGTGGCAACGATGCCATCAATCACAAGGTCTGTTTTCCCATCATGCAATATCATTTGTAATAAATTGAAATACGTAAATTACTGTTACACAGAGACATTGGCATTGTCATGCCAATCGCCAATATAATGTGCTATACATCTGGTACTCAACTGACTAATTGATAACATATGACATTAAAAAAAGAACATAAAACCAGACTTTTTCAGTCCCTCAGACACTGACACTCCTAGTCGATTAGTTCCTTTCCCAATTTTTACCATACATAACAAGTGCAATATGTCTTCCTCATGTGTTAAGCATTTCATACTTTTTGGTTTAGAGTAGGATTCCCAAAGATGGATTATAACTAGATAAATTGTACATCTTGAACCAAATAAACTCTCTCTCAGATTTTGTGGTTATATGCTCTGGTTTGTTCAATCTTCTTTATATTGCTTAATCGTTGTTCTTGCAGCTACCTGAGGCGAGGACTGGGATGGCACTTTCCGAAGGTGGTAAGTTTTGAATTGTTCACCTCGTTGGTGATGGCTTTTATTAGCTGCCAGCTATTTGCCGCATGTCAGAGACCATCTAATTGAGGAAGCCCTGGACCACCCTCAATAATGGAGATTAAATCAAAAAGATGTTGTTAACAAACGGCTTAATTCTTGTCTGGATATCAAGTCTTGGTTACGGGTATGTCCTGAGGCAACTGTTTGTATTATTCACCAGAGTCTACTTTCGATCCATAAACTGTTAACATCCATGATATGATACGCCCTTCTCTGCTGTGGAACTCCAGCAAAATTTTGTGCTATTAAGGAGATTAGTTTGAGGTAAGGTTCTATTCATGTCAACCCGTGTGTACCTTTATCATGAATTACTGCAGTATTTCCTAGTGATGGGAATCTCTTCACTATTTCCTATTTCCTATTTCCTATTTCCTAGTAATGGGAAGGAAGGCATCAACGCCACCCCACCCTCTCCTTTTCTTTTCTTTTTGCTATTGGAAAAAAGGCGAGAATAAAAGAGAGTGTCAGAGACCATCTCGAGAATTATGAGCTCCTGAACGCACTCATAGTTTCTCTTGAGAATAAATTTAACTAAATTAAGTTAATTATCGAGTTTTAATGTGAATTCAAAGTCTCAAACTTTTGATCTTAATTTAATTGATACTTTATTGAATCACTCCATTCGGTGGTTCCGGCTTTCTCCTTCTTTCCAAACACCAAAAAATAAGTGGACGAAAAAGACATGGCTATTGGATCGTATGGGATGTGGATCCTGTCAATTTCAATTGCTATCAACTTCGGTCAAAAATCAATAAATCGTGATTTTTCTTCTTGAGGTGGGGTGACACAGCTAGGATCCCTATTGTGGTAGAATGATCCATAGACTCCTCCTGTTGCACCTAAATAAGACTTGCAGCTACTAGTAGGCTACCTAATGGCCGCCGCAGCTACTAGTATATTATGAATGTCTTTTCTGGAGGCTGAACAGGTTACGATGTCTAAAGTGGCAGGCTTTAGGCCAATAAATTTAGGAGTTGACAATGGTTCTAAATTTTTTTTTTTTTTTTTTTTGGGCATCATATCTTCATTTATTGTATTTGTGATTATTTATATTTTATTTATAACTATTTTTATTATTATTGTAATATCTAAAAATAATAATAATAAATACATTCACAATAGTGATAATCACTCAGAAATGTAATAAATTACCCACAATAGTTATAATTTTTGTTGTATTAAAGAAAAGTGAAAAAAATAGATATTATAAATGTGATAAAAATACTCAAAGTTGTGATAAAAATATCTATAAAAATAATAAATTAATTACAAAAATATTAAATTTTGATCGTAAAATGATTCACAAAAATTATAAAAATATCATTTAAAATAATAAATTTTTTAGGGTTGGTATTAAAAAAATTTTTGGCAGCACCAAGAGGGGAATATTACCGTACCGCTTATTCACTTTTCGGCATCATTTTGAAAAGTGAATAACTTTAAAAAAAAAATTATAAATTTTATACTAAAAATTAATGAGTTTTACTCGAAATGATAAGTAAACTTAAAAAGTATATGAACCTCAAAAATTGATAAAATTTTGCACTTTGTACAATTGAAAAATTTTAAGATTTTTGTTTTGTATATTTCAAAATCAAATTTTTTATATTACATTTTTAATATATTATAATTATTATAATATAACTCTTCTATTATTTTTTATTATTTTTTTCGTCAAAAGTCAACCTATTGATATTAATAAAAAAACTAATAAAAAACTAACAAAATTGTGATATTACAATATTTTTAATATAATGATGATGCAATATAAAAAATTTAATTTTTAAAAATATAGAATTAAAATAATAAAATTTTTCGGAGTACAAAATAAAATTGATCCCTTGCTTTAATACATTCCAACACCCGAATAACATGGAGGTTTTGAAAGATCATTTATGGATAAAGTTGCCTATCATTTAACTTTTCATATTCCACCTTCGACGAGTCAACTATAGACGATTAGCTTTGTGCATTAAGTCTACCTATTTTAATTTGATATATAAAAATTAAATATTCCATGCAAAGCCCCATCTCGTAGTTGCCACGTGTCCATATTCTGAAAAATTGGGGAGGATATAGCCTTGTACATTGCCTTTCCTCCAGATACAACATGCCAAGAGAGCACGGATAACCAAAAACCCTGTCTTTTGTGCCATGGTCTATTAAGTAGTTAGGCACGAGGCATGACTTAGACTAAAAAAAAAAAAAAAGGTATCAATCAATTCTCAAACCCCATTCAAATCCTTGATACACTACACAACGAAGACAAAAGGCAGAAGAGTAGAAACAAAAGAATCAGATTATAGTTTTCTTTTTGGTAGATATGTTTGATTGGCGGTGACCATCCATCTGACAGAGATTTCTCCACACGAGAGATGGACAAAGTCAAAAAAACCAGCAGCCTAACCTTCATTATCAGACAAAAATGAAGTCAAAATACTCTCTTCCACACAGCAACAATTTCTATTTCTATTTCTAGGGACCGTCATTACTTGTTTAGAAAATATTAAATATACACAGCCTTATCACTACAGCCTCTACCCAAATCTACCCATACCATCAAAATCCAAGAAAATAGCCCCTCATAAAAAAATTTAAGCGGACATAATTTAAATATTTATATATACCTCTTCCTCTGATACCATTTAAATCTCTAACTTGTCTAAAAACTCAAGTTGTTATAGAGGTTGACACAGCATGAAAGAGGAGGATTTTCCCTCTACCGCTTTCCTAGTAATTATCTAATTTAGATTCCATGGAGGCATAACACACTGCAAAATGTAGGATATGATATGGATTATAGATGAAATGCACCAAGTCGTACAATTTGTACCTTATACTAAGCATGATATTATAGAAGAAACTTATTTTTATGTTCCCAAAAAAAAAACATCCTTTACTGATATCCATCTCGGAACGAAAATATGTATCAAACTAAGAATAGGATTTAAAGAATACATTGAAAAAAAACTGCCACGAGAATAAACAAATTGCAAATTCTTATGCAAGCAAAAAAAAAATCCCCTAAAGAAGAGTAAAAAGAACAGACCTAACAAAACCATACCTTTCCACCATCTTCACCTTGCTTCAGCATTTGCAACAAAATCTGAGTCCTAATATATATCAAATTGGGCATTACTCAAGCAGGTTTTTGTTGAAGGAACAGCAGAAGGTAGCAGTAAGGTCTGACCTCATTAAAATGCTGGCAACAGTTCATACAAAATCTCTAATTATGTTTTTTCCAAATCCTCTGGGACTGTGGATAATCTGTCTTCTTCAGTGAATGACGGGTTCAGAAACTTAGCCAGAAATGCCCACAACTTGTAAACATCTTCAAAGTTGGTAAGAAACCCCAGCGAGGCTGTAACAACCTCAACTCGAAAGAACACATTTTTACTGTCCTGGCGACTGTTGGTCATTGGCTTGCATAATGCTGTATTTTCCACACTTAGTGCACCGTGATGCTGTTGTTTTGGGCTGTCTACTACCCGTATGTGACTAAGGATACCAATGCCAAGAGAAATACCGTTTTTCTCAGCCAACTTCTGAACAACTTCAGGGTGTATTAACCCTCCTTTACCACTTTCTCTCAAGTTAAAAGCTACTGTTGCACCTCTTTCATATTTGATCTTAGGACCATATATTTGCACAAGAGGCATTCCCATACCTTCATCAGAACCAGGGAACCGAAGCTGGAGTAACGAGGTAACAAGCCAATTGGTCAGATACCTCAATCTAAGTGTTGTTCTGTTAAGACCCAACATGTTAACATGGTCAAGATGTCGGCAAATGATCTCAGGCTCCCTCCTACCCCACTCTTGCCCCTCACCATACTCTCCGTCACCTCCAGTCTCCTCATCACCAAGGCCAGACACAAATACTTCTCCAGGTTCGAAGGAGTGTCCTGAACTTCCTTTTTGGTTTTCATCCAAACTAAAAGATACCCTACGACCCATGCTTCCAACTTGATCGCTGTCCTCCAAACCAAAAAATCTACCACCACCATATCCAGTCCCTTCTCTCCTTCCCAAGAGTCTAAACTCACGTTCAGTCTCTCTCCTAATGGCACTTTCTTTTCTGTCTTGGCCAATTGCAGATGTTGAAGCATCCTCAGGATTAGCATTCCGAAAGCTGGAACCCTGGTTCGACTGTCTGAAACCATTTGTAGTGGAACCCAACTTGGAATCTGCCCGCATCGATTCTTCTTTAATTTCAGTTTCTTCTTGAATCTCTTCGGAACTTCGGAGATCTGTATGTCTTTCATGATTTTTCGGAGCTGGGTCCGTTTCTGAGAACTGTTCTTCAGGTATCCCTTTCACACGGCCCAGCTCCCGTGACACTGACAATACAGCTGCATCAAAAGATAACACAGGATCTTCAGGCAGTTTGAGGTTTACCCTTTGGTCATCATACAATGGGCTCTTACAAATTTTGGATGATAGATTTGGTGATTGTCGTCTATTGCTTCTCCCGCCAGAAAACCCTGAGGGCTGCAATGGTGAGCCTGATTTCTGGGTGCCCAATTGACCATAGTTATCAGATACATACGGACTCTGACCCAAATCAATCCAGTATGAGTTGTCCGACGACTCATCTTCGCTGAAAATTGGACTTTTCATCATTTCCCCAACTGAAAAGCTATCAGCTTCCTCAAAGATGGTGCTTGCGCCATCCCTGTCTGAGCTGTTATCTTGGTCCATATCCGTCTCAAATACTTCCCTGACCTGCGAAGAAGTGTACACACCAGAAAATGCTGGCAACTGCAGTCCTCCAGGTTTCTCAGGTATCAATTCGTCATTACCGTTGACTCCTTTATCCTCCATTCCTACAAGCTCATCCAAACCATCCAAGGAATCACTCAGGTATTGGGGAAAATCAGGGACAATCCTCACCATTCCAGAGCCAGTACGCCCGCACTGGTTTTGCAGGGTTCCCATTACAGATTTCTTGATCAAGAGGCATCCAAACCCACTGGGATCATAGCCAAATACCTTGTAAAATGATGTAATAATAAAATCTGGCCTGAAGAGGGACAAGCCTAGTGAATCCATGTCCTTGGGACCCAATGACCCAGCATCAAGCAATACATGCCAGTTGTTTTGCTGTGCAAGTGCCATCCACTGGTAAGAATACTTAGCTCCTGAAACTCTAGACTGAACAGGGAACACAAAAAGCCCAACTGCAGAATCTTTCTTCCTCCTTTTCTTGATTGACAGTTGCTTTCTCAGCTCCCTAGAGCAGAGTTTCAAGGTTGGCCATTTAAACCAGGCACTATGAACCTTTGCACCTTTCTCTTTGGCACACTGAGCCATCCAACTCACAGACTGGCTCTCATGATCAAACATGGTCAACAACCTCTTATTCGATTGAAACGGGTACGATTCAGCTAGCAATTTGAATGCTGACCCTCTACTAACAGTAAATACAAGACCATACTCATTTTCAGGAATGTTCAAATAATCCATAATCCTAGATTTAATATCATGCTCCGCAGTACCTTCATCAGCACCCCCATGAAGCGCATGATTGCCCAAATTTGCAGTTATTTCTTTTAAGCTAAAAGCTGATGATTCCCAATACTGAAGAGTTTGACAGAAAGAAAACAACCCAAAGCCACAGTAATCAAGACATACCTTGGCAGAGGAATCAGAGAGATGGTCATATTCATCTGATCTCAACTGATCAACTCTCTCAGTTGATTGGAACTTTGGGTACATTGTGAGGAACTTGGAGAATGCCTCATAGAGGTCAGGAATGGATTCTTCGGAGCAAAATGTTCGCTCCGCCGCGAGTGCAGTGGCTCGCAAGAACTCCTTCTGGGCGTTGAGCCGAGCAAGAGATCTTGACCTCCCAAGGTTTCCATCTTGATTCGGTGTCTCGGAATCGATGTCTTGCGATTTTGCCAGCGACCCATCTTCAGATGCTTGTTCGAGAGCCTCCCTGAGCTTGTTTTCTTGCAATTGCCGGAGAATTGAGGGTTTTGCCACACCGTCCTCGGTCAAACCAGAACCATCTCCTTTCCTGTTTTTCTTGTACATGATAAGGGCTGCGCAGTGGGATATGGGTTTCCATAGTGAAAGATGCATGAGTAACAATGCTGATAATTCTCTCCAGAATCAATCTGACAAATACCCAGAAAAGCAAGACCCAGTACAAGTTCAAACCAAAACCCAAAAAGGGTTTGATTAATGTTACATAGAAATAAAAGCCCCAAAGTAAAGCATAAATTGATGGAGACTCCAAACTTCGGCTGTACTAGGAAGAACCTTTTGCTTTAGAACCTGCAACATTCAAAACAAAAGAAACAGAGAATCTTCCCTTAATAGTTTTGAGAGAAATCAGGTAAGATAGGCTTGGTCTAAAAGAAGAGACAAAGAAAAGTAAGCTAAGATTTCTGATTTGGATCGAACCTTTAATGCAATTAAAGAGAGAGAAACGCTAGCTTTAGCATCTTTGAAAGACCCTTAAATGAAGGCCTCATTTCAGATTCAGCCCTCACCCATTGTAGAGTGTGGACTCAGAAATTCAACAGAACCCAGGTGTCAACCCCACAAAAGATTCAAGACCCCAGATTCAAAGGCATCCAAATAGGGGACCAAATTGAAAAACCAAAGGAATGTGGAGGGTAAATCCAACAACGAAATTAAGATATCAAGACATGGAAAGGTTTTGAGAGATTCCAGGAATCAACCCAAAATTCATCAAGCACCCAGAAGCTAGAAAGAACTTACAAGAGACATCAAACGTACAAGAGAGTGATGAGCCAAAGATTTACAACCATTCAAAGGGCATGGGAGAAGAGAGCAGAGGAAGCAACCAGGAGAAAACATCTTCAACAGTAGAAGAAAGCAAATAGGAGAAGAAACAGCTCCAACGGTGCTTTGTCTGTCTCTCTCCACCAGTCCCCCTCCAACTTAGTACTCCCACCAACGACTCTGTCAGTTTTCTCTTTCTTCAACTCAGTTATTTTCAGAACTCTAGAAAACTACAATAATAAAAGCAAATAAATCGCATTCAATAAATTTCTCTTTTACTGCTCCGGTCAATTCTTAAATGCTTGCATTCAATGCTCTTCCAACCTCTCTTCCCCGGCCATTATTACTCTCTTCTCTCTGTCTCTGCGTATATATTGAAATTCCAGAATTAACCTCTCTAGTGGGACCAGACACCAATTGTGGTGGGGCTAGTGTTTTCGACGGTTTTGATGTCATCTAATTTTTTTCCAGTGTGGTGGGACCAGCGTATTTAGTGTATGCACAGAAAGTTCAAAGTAGCCAATGACATGCAGGTGTCAATGCAGCTCAATGTGGACTTTTGGAGCCATGACACCGCCTCTCTATCCTTCCTTAATCCTCACTGTTCATAATATTTTGACCATGAGTACATGGTGTCAACAGTTATTTTTTTTTTAGTAAAAATAAATACAAATAAAAAATGTGAATTTAAATTATTTGTAATCATAGATGATAGAAATTGATGATGGCAGAAATTGACCGCCTAGGAGATGTTGCTAGAAATTGTACTCGGAGAGACAACGGGGCATTTTTACACAAGTAATTCAAAAATCACGAGTAACTCTTTAATACTTTAAGTTAAATAAATGAATAAAGAAATTGAATACTAAATCGGAGTGAAAATTTTTATCCGATTAATAACTTCTTCTCTTTTTTAATTAATATTGATAATGATGAGTCGTGGGATATATAAGTTTTAGATCTCTGTCTCCAAAGATTCGTGCGCACTCTGTCTCTCTCATAAAATATATCCCAAAAGGTCAATGCTTCATGATTCAGTGCAATATAATACCAAGTTTCTTACCTAAATTGATGTCTTCTGTCTCAGCTGCTCTTTATTTTGAGTACTTCGATATTGAACTGTCCTCGCTGTCCTCTAAATTCACTGGTCACTGTTTCAGAGAGAAGATCGCCGGAGCTTTTCCGGGGAAAAAGTACAAACCTTTGGCGTAGAACTTGGAGCTTGTTTGGCCTTTAAACAATCAGTTTTATTGTCATTCCCTACGAAAGAATTTCTTTATTTTTCCCATACAAGTCAAATCACCATTACAAATTGTGTTAAGCATCCCTCTTTCCCACATCACGAACTAGTGATTAGAACTTGGTCCGGACACAATTTGAGGTCTTAGGAAGAAATAGTCAAAAACCCTACTATATTCTGAATCATATATAGGACTTAGATATAACATATTTTTAGATTATGCTAAAATTGAATGTGATAAAAAAAAATTAGATAAACTCATATCATTAATATATCATTCAAGGGATCCCAAAAATTTCATTAGAAAATCCCCACCAAATTTTTTTTTTCATTTAAGGGCCCACGTGCCACTTAGTGGCCTATGCCTGGAGTTAGTCTTATTTAGAAGAATAAGCATCCTTGAATATCAGCAAATAATTATTTGGGTTATTATTCTAACAAAAGTATAAACTCACAAAATATATATATATAACTTAATTAAAAGGGTGTGTTGAATACATAAATTTATGTTTATAATAATCGAGTAGAGATAAGCGATAAAAAACCTTCCTACTACTTTTTTCTTTAAAAATAAAATCATATTTTCAAACTCTGAAACACTAATATATCACTTGAACAACTGAGTGGTCATCGGCCTTATAAATCAAACTCATCAAAGTTATTATTATTTGTGTCCTATGCTTATGTCAAGGGTCAACTATTATTTGTGTCCGGTAGACAACAACCTTTTTAAAACGTTTTATAACAATAGCATCCAAAGCAAGACACCATGTGTTTTTTCTAAAAAGTGGAGCAGTTTATCTTGAAAATATATATATATATATATATATATATATATAAAGAAAAACAATTTTAAATTTTGAAGACAAAGAGAGGTTCGGATCGTTTGATGACAAAAAAAGACATCATCCAACGAACGACTTTATTTCAAACTGTCTCAAGCCATTGACGTCTCAGATCATTTCAAAATTTCTGATCCAACGTACCAAATTTGCTCCCAAATTTTTTATCTCGCCCAAAATATTTCTTTTTCTTTTAATCCCTCAATCACAGGAAATCCCTATCCGTTTATCACGTTCTCTCTCTTAATTTACTCTACCAGTAACCATTTTTCATACTTAGACGACGCCTCCCAAATCTAGCCTTGATATCCCATACCCATATCTTCCCCAAATCTCTTTCTCTCTCCGTCCTTCAACAATGCGACAACCACAGTCGCCACCAATGCTACCATAGCCACCACCGAACAACACCCCCACAACACTATTGAAAGCCTCCCTCCACCGCTAACGACCACCAAAACAAGCGGGTGTGGCCTGCTATGGATGAAAAAATAGCCACAATCTCTCTCTGCCTTCATCTCTCTGTTCCTCTCTCTCCCTTTGTCCATCACCTTCCATCAACCAAACCCAATCCAATCACTACTTTGGAAAATTTCTTTGGCTAAAATTATGGAAGCAGGTACACATCTATAGCTTTTCTTGATTGATTATTTCTATAGTCTATGTAGTCGAACTCATGAATTTGGTGATTTCTCAGGTCCCAAGTTAAAACAATGAAAAAATAAATCTATTTTGCTATCTAAGAAATATTGGATTGGTTTTAAATTTGAATATGAAGATGTTCTTTCTAGCTATTTTTTAACCTTCTTTTTTACCCAAGAGTTGGTGACTAAGTAACTATTTTATTGAGGAATGGATTTAATCTGCTAATCTTTATTAGACATAAAAATCCTTATTACCCAAGGACGAGAATTTTGAAATGTGTTTGTTACAATTACTTGGTCACAGTCCTCGTTTGAACAGTGTTTTTATTTCAATTAAACTAGAAAGAGAAACTCAGAAAGTGTCTGCTAAAAATAAATCTTTTAACATGAGGTGAAATGAGTTTTCTTTATTGTTGTTGCAGGCACCCGCAATACGGTTCAATTTGTTTTCAATAATACCATTGAATTCCATCTTCTCTGATGTAATTTGTTCCCAGCAACATCCTTTCTTTGCTAACAGTGTTTTGTTTATATTTCAACTCGTGGGCAAACCATATAGAAATGGAGAAGTAATTTTGATTGATCACAAAGTTGCACTGAGGAGCACAACCAAGGATTTCGCAATAGCCTGAGTTGATTTCATTGCTCGAGTTCCTGATACATTTGTAATTGCTTGAACTTCAATTATTTCAGTTTAATCATGTTAATTTCTATTACAATCAATCGATTTCCAATGTGTATGCATAGGTTTGACATTTTCAAAGGTATACTCTGGTTTTCAATCATTTTTTCCCGGTATTTAAAAGTTGTAGGTTCTTTGTTCTTAGCAATTTGTGGGACTATCTATTTGATATATTTGACATCGGCACAATAGTTGTATTATAAGGCATCGATGATTGGAGTGGTGATTAGGGAAAATAAAATCGAATTGGACTGTGAATGACTGGAAAACATGGATAGCGGACCTCTTGGAAGATTAAATTATTTGGTATTCTTTAGAGGCATGCAGTGGTCTTTTTGACATGCGAGTTTAATGGCAAGTTTGGAAGGATTAATAATGGTGGAATATTGGAGAGAGAAATTTGGGGAAGTACCTCAAAATTCAAAAGTTTTCCAAATTGTAAAACAGTAATAGTGATTAGCGAAATTAGGAGATCAGTGATGAGATTGATGGCTGCTTCTATGAGGATTCTTTCAACCAGAGTCAACTTTTTCATATTATTTGCTGCTCTTTATTTTTGAAAATCAACTGTTATGCGTGCTTTATTTAGGTGAAATACGAAGAAAGTGGCAGATTTCAAAGGATGCGTATTGTCATAGTGTCCAGTATGACTTCAAAGGAGGTATTATATGCATCCTAAGTTTTGTCGTGAAGATCTATTTGGTTTTGGCAACTGCTAAGGTCATCTCATGGTAGGTCAATGGGGAGTGGTGGCAGAGGCTTTTAGGGGATAAAATTACAAAAGGCTGTCTTCAATGCTACAAAAATTTCAATACTGGTTACAAAAATTAAAGGAGATTGTTTTATTTGTTTTTTTTAAAAATATATATTGATTGGCAATGGTCAAAGTTTTGTGTTATGGATTGGCTGCATGTATGTATAAAATAGTTATAATTTTGTTTTCGAGTTATATAGTGTCTTCAGACACAGGTAATTGCTAGTATATATATATAAAATAGATGGACTTTCAAGAAATTTTATATTTGTAGTGGCTAATATAATGCTATTACGGTAGCCTCTTGCAGTAAGGATACGCCAAAAAAACTTTATTTATTTTTAATAGTAAGGTCTTCTAGCTACCTGCTGTTTATTTTATTAACATAATTGGTATCATGACTATAATGGTGAGTATATTAATATTATCATTACTATACAACATTAGTAAGAAAATATATGTTTGCTTTTCAAGTTAGTTCCCATTTTCAACCCTTTTTCGCATTAAAAAAAAAAATGGGCCCATGAGATACACATATGTCATCTTAATATGGGATTTAGATCTCCTCTATTACGTCTTTCCTTTTATTTTTTTCAATAAAATGCTAACTGAGTGACATGTGTAAAATTTGAAATTTCAATGGACAAGATTTTTTTCTTCTGAATTTTTTTTTTAATAATGGTTAGCATTCCACTAACACAAGAAAAAATCTTGTCTATTGAAATTCAAAATTTTACACATATTACTCATTTAACACTGTATTTAGAGGAATTGAAGGTAGGAGATAATGGATGGGATCCAAATCCATGAGGGCCTGTGGTGTGTACAGTGGTGTGGTGGCGCAATGGTGTGTAAATGAAGGGGGATATAGGATGAAGTGATTGTGAAGAAGAAGAAGGTAAAATTGGCAATTTTTGAAGAAGATTAAGATGACATCAACCTTTTTTTAGTTGGGCAATACTATTGTGATTTAATTTATTGACTTAATTTACTATGACTTTTAGATTGACTGTGGACCCTATTAAACATTGAAACTTGATGTTAATTCAATAGTTTTAATAAAATAATATCATAACGATACTCTTTTTATTTATCAGTAGCGTTCGTCACAGGAAGG